AGGTCTAGGGTTTGGGGGGCCGCCGCCGCCAACCATGGCCGGCGGCGGGTTGTCCGGCGGGTGGTCGGCCACCGTCGGTGGTGGCGAAGGTTTTTTTTTCTTTTTTTGATAATGAAGTTGATCTAATCAAAGAACCATAACCATGATCATATCAACCCTCAATTGATCTCTATCAAAAACAAATTTTTTTTTTGCGGATGAACAGTAATCCGAGAACATGAACAGTAACCCGAGCCCTAATCTTGATCTTAATCAAAATAATCATAACCCTTGAACAACAACACCATAGTTTGATCTAATCAAACTTTTAAGTTAATCTAATTAATTTCAGTTTAATAAATTAAACCGAGATGAATAGTAACCCGATGAACAGTAACCGCGCCGGATGAACAGTGTTCTCGGTGGTGAACAGTAACACCGGTGAACAATATCCGAATTAAAAAAATAATTTAATCTTATTAAATTATTACATATTGGATTCTAAACCCGCTCTGATACCATTTGTTGGAATCATGACATACAACGCAGCGGAAAAAGCATATCATGACTATTAATCAAAATTAATTAAATATTAGAAGAATACCTGAAACGCTTTCCGAATTTCTACAATAATCTGTCCCGAGATCAATCCAAAATAGCTTCCTCAAGAGAAAAAACCTCCAATATCCACCCGTCACCGTAGAGGAGCAATACTGAGAGATAGGTTCTCAAAAATCTATTTCTTCATATTATCTTCATAAGATTTTGAATCTCTTCTCTTAACCTCTCATAAGGCTACATATGAACCCTATTTATAGGATTACACTAGTCTTAGAGATTTTAACTTTAAACAATTCATAATTATCTAGAACTCTATCCATAACAATTAAGGATAGAATAGATTTGTTCAAAAACTTTATCCATAACAATTAAGGATAGAAATAGATTTATTCAAAAACTTTATCCATAACAATTAAGGATAGAAATAGATTTATTCAAAAACTTTATCCATAACAATTAAGGATAGAAATAGAATTGCATTGCATGTATACCTCTTCTAATGACATTAGTGAGACCAATTGGGTCCCATATCGAGAACCAATTATTAATCAAATTAATAATTTTAATTTAACAATCAAATCCCTATCCGACCAATTGTTCATAAAAGCTCTTCCATAATATGGGATTAATTATTAATAAATAATATCTTACATTCAATCCCTTCCAGTATCATTTATTCTAGGCAACTCTTTTAAGTAGGACAACTCACCTATTTGCTCATGTCTAAATTTGCAATTCCCATGAACATAAATAAAAATTATTTTGAAACATCAAAATATTTTATTTTTTATAAGAAAATAAATTTTGTAAAAATATTTTCAAAGCTACCTGCCGGCAGGAATTTAATAGCTTCATGGGAATGCATAATAAATTAACTCATCATAATGAGCATACTGGATCCTATCTAGACATCCATCATTTTCCTAAATGAAATTTAGCAACCCAATGTTTCAGGTTGTGTAGCGCTTGCTAAACAAGCTTAACCATCACATCAAAGCATACTAAATTATCAAATCGAAAATGATAATATCATCAAGTCAAAGGGACCATGTAACAATTTGAACTCTCTATCTCTTAGGTGACTCATCCTAGAGAATTCAAATACGGTCTAGTGCTACACACATCATAATGCGTGCTTATGACATACACCCGGAGAATCTCCATTCCCGATGGTTGAGATCCACCACCATATCTCATATATCGGTGTCATGCATAATAACCTGTTATAACAAAGTTATCCTTTACTAGTTATAGGTTAAGCACAAATTTAAGAAATTTCTAAGTTAGATCATATCTCCAAGCAAGTGACCATCACAATGCATGATCTAACAAAATAACTTCTAAGGATATATATAACAATTATATAAATAATACCCAAATTATGTGCAACAATTAAATTTATTAACATTACAATATCATTACATAATTTATATTGGATGTTCAAGGGCAAATTATTATTACTATTCCAGCAGACACCACATCAGCTGTAGCAGCGGCGATGAGGAAGAGGAGAGCGAGGCATAGGAGAGGAGAGGGGCGAGTGGCCATGGCGCGAGAGATCTCCGCTCCCCGGTACTAAACCCTAGGAAAACGCTCTAATTTTTCCGCAAGATTGATTTTGATTTTGATTTTGGGGAAGAAAGAGAAATAGAGAGAGAAAGGGGGGAGTTCGATGTGGGCGAAGAAGACCGAGCCTTAACGTTATTCCATGAAAAAACGTGGGAGTATTTTAGGTGGGGGAAGTTATTATAATGGGATGTTAGAGAGGAGAGTACTGGGTGTAGTTATGAAAAAACGTGGGTGATTTTTAGGTGGTTATTTTACTCTTCATTAGAATTTTTTTGTTGTTCTGCTTTAGTAATAAAGAAGTAGATAACTATAAAAGATAGCTTTTTTTATTTTTATTTTTATAAGAGGTACTGAGAACACGGCACTTTGTAGATCATGTGGAGGTCCTGCGGCTGCTCCGTTAGAAAGCGTGCAAATTGTGCGCACAATGCATGCGGTTAACTGGTTGAAAGGGAAAGGAGGAAGACGTACGACGACGACGACAAAAAAAAAAAAACTGAACGCAGGAAGGAAAGACGATTGGACGAGGAGCAGGGTTCAAAGTTTGATTAGTCTCTAGAAAAGAGTTGACCAGCGCTAAATAACCATAGAACTCGAATTTGACCAGTACTTTCTTAATTAAATCCATCCATTCTGAGCAGGATGAGCATGAAGCCACCAAGGAAAAAAGCAAGAGCAAGAGGAAATTTGAAAGGAAAACAAATATAGGAAAAGATGTCTAATATGGAGATTTTTGTTTAATATGCTTGTTAAAAGATAAAATGATCAGGGCAAAATTATGTAGAATTTTGGATCTCTACACCATAGTTTTGCTTCTATATATTAAGTAGTCAATCCATACCTGAACTCATACCAGGAGTTAGCCTCTCTCTCGGTCCCGTACAAGTCTCTACGTTGTTTTCTGTGGATATATTCCTTTTAGACTTCAGTTCCTTCTTGTCTACTCCATTGAACAAAAGTTTCAGTTGATTAGTCATTATCTAATTATAGATAACAGTATCTTAAGCACCTCGGCGTTTCTGTTAGCTTTCTCTGACAAATTCTTTGGACTGTTTTCTTCCTCTGGCTACGTCGTACTAACTGTTCTTTGATCACTGTATGATGCCTATAATATAATGGAGTTTTTTTTAAAAGACCCTTTTTGCTAAATAATTAGCAAAATCGACCGTTTTACTAATTATTTAGCAAAACCGACCTCTTTTTGGCCAACATGCCAAAAAGAGGTCGGTTTTGAAAAATTAGTTCTTCAACCCTCCTTATCCTAGGCTAGAAATCTCACGAGACTACTAGTTACGTGGGTTTAGACCTTCAACCCTCCTTATCCTCACAAACCCATCAACTATCGCCCCGTAAACCGCCCTGCCGATCAATAAACCCTTCTTCATCTCCCTAAACAAGTCCACCCCCTTCTCTACATTATCATTCTTACAAAGCCCCGACACGATCGTAGCGTACGCCATCACATCCCAAACCCTCAAAACTCCCCAGGATCCCAATCACCTCCTTGACCCTCCCCTCCTTACACAGCCCCTTCGCGAGGATCGTGAACGTGATTGCCTCCTCCTTGACGCCGTCGTCCGCCGTCAGATCGCCATACAACTCGTGCGCGAGGTCGAGGTGCCCACTTTTCACGAGCCCGTCAAGTATCTTGTTGTAGAGGTAGACCCTCGGTCTGATGCCGAAGTGGGTCCTGAACTTGTGGTAGAGGCGGTAGA